GATTTTCTTTTTTTACTTGCTAGATTTTCTTTTTTTACTTGCTAGATTTTCTTTTTTTACTTGCTAGATTTTCTTTTACATGCTAGATCTTTTTATTTTCTGGATTTTCCTTTTAACTTGCTAGATTTTATTAAGGACATATATTAACCATTTATAATTAATTTCTTTTTCGTAATTTAGGTTTTGTTGTTCTCATTGCTGGAACTTTTATCTTTAATGATGTAATACGTCCTCCACCTTGCTTCACTGTTCCACCAAAGGAGACTTTAGAACATCAACCCTTATTGCCTGAAGATCACGAACATATTTAATTGACTTTTTTTTGTACATAGTTTTCTATAGAAAAATGTACTGTACCGTATTACCTCAAAATAACGTTCCGGGGTGTAGGTTAAAATTTTGGCCCGAATTAAGCTTAATTCGGGCCAAATTTTTTAACCTACATCCAGGGCGTTATTTAGAGATAATATGGTAATGGTAAATTTTTGATATAAAAAACACGCAAACTATAAAATATATTTTTTGAATAAATTATACGTAATAATAATTCTATATAAAAAAAATAAAAAAAAATTATTCCATATATCTATGCATAATTTTATACCTGATACGTACCGGTACGTACATATATAACTACGTACCATGAGCGGAGGCGCGGAGTAACTGATTTTAACTCCGTTGTACGTAAATAAAAAAGGAAACACCTGTCCCGAAACTGTTTCACACCATAGTTCGGATTTTTATAGCATATATATACTCTCATCTATCTATTAGAATTGTCTATTGCTTAAAAACCTTACGAAAAGAAAAATGGAAGATTTAAGCTCAATTGGTAAAGCGGGGTGTGATATTGCTGTAAATGTCGGACAAGCCATACCGCTTATTAGTATTATCGCGATATTATTTCGAGAAATAATTGCTTTAGCCGAAAAAGCTGGACATAATAAAAGAGTTTGTAGAAGGTTGGCTGAGCGTGTACGTGTAGCAAATCATACTCTCGCTCAACTTACTCTGAACGATGAAAATGATCTGGCTTTAAAGAATTATGCTCAAGCGATAACGAATTGTAAAGAGTTTATTGAAAAAATTAGTGATTCCGGGGCATTCATGAAATTATTTACTGCTCATGAAGTAATATTATGAATTCTTTATAAATTATAATTTAATTTGACCTTTACTGCACAAATTTTAACTTCTCACTATCTGATGTTCCTAGATTGAAAGTGCATATAAGAATGTCACTGAAGAATTAGATGCCGCAATTAACCAATTAGGATTATCAATGTGCATTAGGACAAATAAAGACATCGAAGATGATCGTAAGTTATTCCTTTCAGAAATAAAAACTTCGTTTCAAGCCATTGAAGAAGTTACGAAAGACTTGTATGACGTTGGAATGGACATTCAACAAAAACTTAGTGTATTTGAAGCAAAGTTAGATACTATTCATACAGCAGTTGATAATGTAAGCAAAGGTGTCATAGTAAACAATCAAACTTTGGAAAAATCTTTGGAAAAATCAAAAATACCTAGTAATCAAATTACAGATACTGATGAGGATGAGGTGAAACGTGGTCATGTAATTAAAAAAATATATATCATGCAGACAGTTGCCCAAAAAGAGATCGGTCATGTTTATTCTTTACAGAAATCCATAGATATCATTGAAAGAGAGGTTGCTATCCTCACTGAACTAAGAAATTGTCGAAATATTATAACATTGTAAGTCATGCGATTCCTTTTTAAAAAACAAATTAATTTTTTTATATAATAATTTATAAATTCTTTACTGGTAGTTATGGTACAATGCAGCGTGGTGGTAAACTATACATTATTTCTGAATGGGCTGAAATGGGCGATCTTTATACATACTTGCAAAAACATAATGTAACATGGAAGTTCAAACTTAAAATCGCCTCCGAAATAGCTGGTGGCTTAGTTTTTTGTCATGTTTGTGATATATTACATCATGATATAAGAAGGTTCGATATTATAAGATAATATTCACCAAATATTTCCCGAATATTTACCAAATATTTACCGAATTTTCCTTTTACCCTTTAGTCACAATATACTGTTAACAAGTGATCTAACAGCAAAGATCAGTAATTTTAGTTCTAGTCGTAAAGAAAGTGATGTTACTACAAAGGTCAAAGACATCACACTTAGATACAGGTAACGTATTGATAATATTTATTTATATTTGTGTTCTTATATACTTATTCTTTATACATTTCAGATGGCTTGCTCCCGAAAAACTTGAAAATTATAAAGATAATGAATATACTAAACAATGTGATATATACAGGTGTAGTTCCTTTTCATTATTTAAGATCCTTATTTTTCTTTTACAACTTTTACTTACTTTATTACTATATATAAACATATAATAGCTTTGCTATCGTGCTTTGGGAACTTGCCGCTCAAGAAGTACCATTTGCCAATGTTACAGTTGTCACGGATCTGATTACAAAGATAACGGGTGGAGAACGTCCACCACCGATAAAGGACGCGCCTCTTTTCTTTCCTGCGTATGAAAAAATCATGCAGCAAGGGTGGCAGCAACGTCCAATAAAGCGCCCAACTGCCGATCTTATGTTTAAAGAACTAAACAATCTTTATAAGTCTATAATAAAATCTCAATCTGAGTCTGGAGATTTTGAACCGCCTTCACCAGTACTACGAAGTGACTCATTAGATTCGCAAATCGGTAATTCTCAAAAGGATTTTAATAATATAGAAGAAGGAATACGACAAATTAAGTTGAAGTAATTCCTTCATTTTTGTGAATGGTTATATCCTATTTTATCAAATAACCGACATTATTTAGAACACGTATTTCTAAAATTGTACTTGCCGCTCAAATCCAAAACTATTATAGCTTGGGTTTATTTACGCCAAATCCCAACCTCTGGCCAAATTACTCTTTCAAAAACTATTAATAATCTTTACCTAAACAAATAAAATATATTCTTACATAGAATATATTTGCAAAATATCAAATCCATCTTTTTCATTTAATGTTTTATAAATAGCAATTTTTTTTGAGGTTTGGGATTTGTTCAGGTTTTGCTGGCAGGCATATTTAAAATTATCCATTTAAAATTAATGTTTATATTTTATATATGTATTTTTGTTTTATTTATTTATTTACTATGTACAGAATTGAAAAAAATTGACCAATTTTTAATTTTTAATTTTTATCTTTGGTTATTAATAAAAAATTTGAATTATATGGTCAACTCTTTACAATTAATCGACAGTTCTTATAGTAAAAATTTTAAAAAATTCATTATAGCAAAAATATTGTTCTTGATAAATCATGATAGCAAAAATATTATTCTTGATAAATTATGATTTATGTACTGTTTCCAGAGCTTTAATAAAGCCCTTCAAACTATAATAAAATATAAATCACTAGTTTTAAACAAAAATAGTTTTTTTTTTTTTTAAATATTAAGGTGAGTACTTGCGACCCAGGATTTTATTGATAGTATATTTGGCTAATGGT